TGATCGATCCTGGAGAATGATCTGTGTGCGCTTGAGAAAAATATGTACTCAGATTTTTTTGGGTTTAGTGTTCTATAGATGTCTGTTCAGCCCAAGTGCTCTAGATCCTTATTTAGAGCTTTAGTGTCTTTTCTTATTTTTTGTCTCGTTCATCTATCCGTTGTTGATAGTGGTGTGTTGAAGTCTCCTACTACGTATGTGTTTTTTCTGATGTCTGTTTGCAAAGATGACAATAGTTGTCTGATATATTTTGGTGCTCCTTCGTTTGGTGAGTATATGTTAATAAGTGTTATTTCTTCTTGAAGTATTGTCCCCTTGATCATAATGTAGTGACCGTTGGGGTCACTTTTTACCTTTTTGAGTTTGAAATCTGTTTTATCTGATATAAGTATAGCTGTTCCTGCTTTCTTTTTTGGTCCATTTGCTTGTAGGATTGTTTTCCATCCTTTAACTTTGAGTCTATTTTTATCTTTTGTAGCTAAATGTGTTTCCTGGAGTCAGCCAAAGGTTGGATTTTGTTTCTTAATCCAGCCTGCGACTCTGTGTCTTTTTATTGAAGAGTTTAGTCCATTTACATTTAGAGTTAATATTGATATGTTAGCATCTCTATTTGCCATTGTATTTGTCTTTCCTTTGATTTTATTTATTTATTCTTTTAATAACTTTTTTTTTTTTTGACCTTCTTTTGTTGTTATTCGTCCTTCTGAGATTCTGGCTATAGGACTCCTTGTAGTGTTTTTTGGAGTTGGGGTTTAGTCGTAATGAAATTCCAGAGTTTCTGTTTGTCTGGGAAAGAGGAAGGAAAGCTTTGCAGGATAGAGGAAGGAAAGCTTTGCAGGATAGAGTATTCTTTGTTGGCATCTGTTGTCTTAAAGTCTGTTGACTATGTCCCTCCACTTTCTCCTTGCCCGTAGTGTTTCTTTGGAGAAGTCTGATGTCAGTTTGATTGGTTTTCCTTTGTATGTTATCTGTTTCTTCTCTCCTGTCAGCTTCATTATTTTTTCCTTGTCCTGGATTCTTGGGAGCTTTACTGTTATGTGTCTTGCTGTATTTTTCCTTTCATCATGGAAGTTTGGTGTTCTTCTTGCTTCTTGTATATCAATTTTCAGCTCCTTCTTCCCATTTGGGAAGTTCTCTTCAATTATTTCCTTGAATATTTTCTCTGTTCTAGGTCTCTTTCCTCTCCTTCTGGGATTCCTATAATTCTTATATTTCCTTTCCTCATGGAGTCAGATAGTTCCCGAAGTCTTTCTTCAGTCTTTCAGTCGTACTTCTCTTTCCTTCTCTGTTTTGGTTCTTTTTATTTCTGTGTCTTCGAGAGTGCTTATTCGTTCTTCCATTTCCTCTATTCTGTTATCACTGCTTTTCCCAGCATTCTTTAGCTCTTCTGTTAATCCTATGATCTCCTGAATTTCCTTCATTTCCCTCTTTAGAGACTCAATTTCATTCTTCTGAGCGTTGTTTTCCTTAATGACTTCCATCAGTGTTTTCATCTCGGCAATTTTAAATGCTTTTTCTGGAAGTCTCAGAAGTTCTTCCAAGTCACCGTAGTTGCAAGCTGGTGGGTGGTTGTTGTTTTTTTTTTTTTTTTTTTGTGGTGTGTCTTTTTTCTGAGGCGTTGCTACTTTGCTTGTAGTTTTTCTTTTCCCTGCTGCCTGTCTTTTAATTTCTCTTATGCGTTGGGACACTGTGCTGCTGGTACTGGCTGGCATCTTTTTGGTGTGTTCTTCGGGAGTTTCAGAAACTGGCAATCCAAATGAGTCAAAAACTGTTATGCCAGAAGTCTAGTGAGGCAGTGGTACTTTGAGTATGTTAATGGTCACTGTCACTGTATCTCTCCCCCTTCTGTGTTTAGTTACAAAGGTGCATCTTGAAGTCCCATAGACTTCCCTGGAGGTGGGGCAGCTGGATTGCACTCTGGGTTCCAAATCTCTGGATCCTCCTCTGGGCTGTGACTTCCTGCCAGGTGGGACCAGGCTTGTGGGGGCCTTCAGCTCACAGCGCAGGGAAACTTCTCCCTCTGGCTCCACAGGGAGCCTTCTGCCAGATTCAAGCAGTCTTTATTGAAGAAAGGTCCCTGTTCTAAAATGGCACTTTGGAGACAGGCACACTCTTCCATGTGCCCGGTCTGCCCTGGCCGTGGGTGCCCGCTCCCCCTCTGGATTTGGACTGCTGGTCCGAAGGGGCCTGGTGTGGGCGAACTTCCCAGCTCACCTCTGGCTCCTCTGGGAGCCTTATGCAGGTTTCATGCAGTCTTTATTGAAGAAAGGTCCCTATTCTAAAATGGCAATTTGGTGACAGGCACACTCTCCCGCACGCTGGATCTGCCCTGGCTGTGGGTGCCTGCTCGCCTTTTGGGCTCGGACTGCTGGTCAGAAGGGGCCTGGCTTGGGTGAATTTTCTAGCTTACTTCTGACTCCTCCAGGAGCCTTCTGCTGGTTTCAAGCAGTCTTTACTGAAGAAAGGTCCCTATTCTAAAATGGTGATTTGGATACAGGCACACTCTCCCGTGTGCCTGGTTGGCCCTGGCTGTGGGTGCCCGCTTCCCCTCTGGGTTCGGACTGCTGGCCAGAAGGGGCCTGGCATGGGCAAACTTCCCAGCTCACCTCTGGCTCCTCTGGGAGCCTTTTGCCGGTTTCAAGCAGTCTTTATTGAAGAAAGGTCCCTGTTCTAAAAAGGTGATGCGGGTACACACTCTCCTACGTGCCCGGTTTTCCCTGGCCTTGGGTGTCCGCTCCCCCTCTGGGCTCAAACTGCTGGCCAGAAGGGGCCTGGCTTGGGCAAACTTCCCAGCTCACCTCTGACTCCTCTGGGATCCTTCTGCCGGTTTCAAGCAGTCTTTATGTTTACTAATATTGCTTACCCCACCGCCCCTCCCCAGCAGATATAAGCACCATAAGGACAGAGGTTATTTGTTTTGTTCACCAAGTTAAAAAGTGCTAGCACACACTTTTGTTGGCCTATTGTCAAATAAATGTCAAATAAATGGCATTGTTATGACATTCATTGTCAAATAAATGAATGAGTGAATAAATGGATGTTCAAACAAAATGCCACCCTTCTTCCATGTGTTATGATGGATACTATTTTAAGTACAGTCCAGTTTTGCTCTTATTTGTTCAGATTGCTTTACTTGATTCAACGGATTTTTATTGTATCTTCATTTCCCAAACTCTGTGTTAGGTATTAGGGACAGAATGGTGAGCAATCCCTGTCCATGGTATTATCATTATTGAAGAGCAGACATTAATTGGATAATTATTTCTTTAGAATTGTTCTAAATTCCAGAAGGAGAAGGATGTATATGAGGGATTTACCTATTTTGAGTCTTCACGGAAGACTTCTGAAGAAGTAGTTTAAGAAGGGTCCCTGAAAGATCATTAGATAATTATAAATTTGTAGTAGGGGAGAATGTCACAGATGGAGGGAAGATTATATTTGAAAATCCTAAGGTGGTAAAAAATGTTAAGTCCAAGTAACTGAAAAGAGACCAGTGATTTTGAAGCAAGGGAAACACAAGAGAAAGTGGTGGTAGATGGAACATACTAAGTAGGTTAGAATTTGCTTAGAGAGGATCTTGTTAAATTATTCAAAATGCTTGGTGAAGGCTTCCAAGTGCTTTAAGGACATGATGAGATTTTATTTTATTATTTTTAAAAATATTTATTTATTTATGCATACAAGAACTGGGGTACAGGCCAGAGGTATGGGGGGAGTTGAGAGGATTCACCAGAGACAGAGCGGGGAAAAGAACAGGCAGACTGAAGAAATACACTGCTGAGGGGAGCAGCAGGCGAGTCAGGAGAGGTCTGCTGTGCCATGTGGACTGCTCCCTGGCTGGCCTGGAATCGAACTCGTGCTGCAGTGCCTGTGGAGAGCTTCATAGGTTGCATCTTAACCCTTGCATCATCGGGGAGCCCTGAGATTTTATTTTTAAATGACCCTCCTACGCCTATGAGAAGAAAGAAGTGAAAAGGGCAAAGGGAAGAAGACAGATAAGTTTGCAATCTTTTGTCATAGTCCATGTGGTAGATGATGGTGGCCTGGACTGTGCTGGTATGGTGAGGAAACAAACACTAGATGGATAAGCTCTAGGGACAATGGGCATTATAGAGTCAGTTGAGAACCCTTGGGGAACTCTTAACTTTTTAGTATCAGGTATAAGGAAAGGAAAGGAAATAGAATAAATTAGCAAAGGAAATAGAATAATCTAGAAATAGAATAATCTAGCAAAGGAAATAGAATAAATTTCATCTCATTGCCAACAGATGAAGGTGACGTGAATAAATGAAAGCAGATTCAGGGAGGTTTATAAGTAGTTGAGGGCTTCTATAAGTAGTTGAGGGCTTAGCAAGTTAGCTAAGAGTGAGAGAAGAAATGTGTTAAGGGAATACAATAAAATAATACATAGGCAAGTTGACTACAGAATGGTTGAATGTACAGAAGTGAAGTGGTCAAACAGTGCTGTTTAAATGGTTGTATTTTTGTAACTTGGTTTCTGTATGTAGTAGTTTGATAGATTTCTGTTGAAAATTTTAATTCTGGCTGTCATGAATAGGAATTCTAAATGGTAGTGGTTGATTGTTTTAGAGTACTTTGCAGTTGGTGTACACAAGAGAATTATTCTTTTGAAGATCTTACCAGTATTGTTGCATACTTGTTTAGTACAATTATGATTACTGTTTTGAAGTGTTTGCCTGACCTTGAATGGATAATTGCTTGTTATTTCATTTGCCGTATGCCATTTTTTTCAAGATAGCTGATTCCTTACAAATGTGGAGGATCCCCTCTTAGATTGTTTTACCAGTGTAGCCCAATAAATTTGAGATTCTGGATGTCAGGAACTGGCTTGTGAGTCTGTTTCCCTTTTTCTTTCGAGCCCCTTATAGATTTCGTGCCACAGAAAATCCCCCAAAGTACACAGATCTTCTACACTGCCCCAAATGTAATTCCTGTATGCTCATTGAATTCGTTGTTTTGGTGATTATCTTGTACTTCAGCTTTCTGTTGGTAAATAGAGATAAAATTGAGTTATTACACGTGTGTCTTTGATGGCATTTAAACTGAAGATCAGAAAGAGTATACCATGGGAAGAGATGGAGGTGTTGCATTCCAATGAAATGTGACATTAAATGCCAAGGACTTGAGGCAGGAATTAAGATGAAGAATTCAAAGATGAGAAAGAAGAATCACAATGAGGAGATAGGAAAGTGGCCAGTGATAGGCACGGACTAGCTCACATCCAGCCTTGTAGACCATGGTAAGGACTTTATTTTGCACACACAGTACTGTGTACTTGGGAATATAATTTCCTAGATGAATCCATTTAACTTACAAAATGAATTCTATATAAGTCTTAGAATTTCCATACTATTAGTTGCACTGGATTTTAAGATACGGGATTTTATCAGCTACTTTACATGAAAATCTAGTTGTGGTGTACTAATTTACAAAACTGAATTTAAGCCAACGCAACAGAAAAGAAGATATAGATGGTCAAACACACGAACACATACTCAGCCAGCTTATAAGAAAAATGCAAATTAAGACAGCTTTGCACACTATATTTTGTTTACTCTAATGGCAAAAGATCAGATGTTTGGTAAACATACTATGCTTGCATGAGTGTAGAAAACCAATGACCTTTTTCTTGCTGGTGGAAATATTTGGTACTGTTATTTTAGAGAGCAGTATTTATCAAAATTACAAATATTTATATTCTTTGACTCAGCAAATTCCCTCCTTGAAATTTATTCTGTAAATATTCTTCTATGTGTGCAAAATGATGTTTGTGTAGGTTATTCACTACAACACTTTATAATAGCATGTATTGTAAATGACCTAATGGTTGGTCACTGATTAAGTAAATTATGATACAGTTACACAGTGGAGTACTTTGCAGCCGTAAAAAGAGTTCTTATGATATGTATAGGAAATTGCTGTTATAATATACACATATATATATACTTTTTTAAAAGGCATAAATGAAATGATATATATACATCTCATAATGTGTATATTCTATGTATGTGTGTGTGAAAGTGGACTGTAATACCTTTAAGTGAAAAGGCAAGGTGTAGAACTATGAGTATGCCACCATTTTTTATAAAAGAAGAGGGAATTAATATTTCTAGAAAGATTAGTAGGAAATTGCTGACATGGAGGGGACACTGGGGGCTGATATGGGAGGAAGACTAATTTTGTATGTTCTTTTGAAACAATCCCTACGTGCAAAAGAATATTTATAACATATGTAAAGACTAACTTAAAATTCTGAACATACAGTATTAAGTTTCAAAAAATAGATTATATATTTTCAAGGCCCAACTCCTTTTTTTTTTAAATTTCATATGCTTTTTCTCTAGAGGTAAGAACTTTTCCTGAACTTTTATTTTATATCACTCCCTCTTTTTCTTTATAGTTTTAATATATATTGTTACATTTATTTTTTTTTATTATTATTAGATAATAAATTTTATTGTTATATTCCCCATACAATTGCAGCCCCCCCATTCTGACCCCAATCCCTCCCCTCCCGCCCCCGCCCCCCTAAAAGTGTCTCTGGTTCATAGTTTTTTGTTGATTTTGATTTTCACTTTCTTATAGTTATTCATTTTCCTGGTCCCTTATTTAAGTTTTCTAGATTCCTGCTATGAGTGAGACCATCCGGTATTTTTCTTTTTCTTTTTGGCTTATTTCACTGAGCATGATCCCTTCCAGTACCATCCATGTTGCTGCAAATTGCATGTGTTTATCTTTTTTGAATGCTGAGTAATATTCCATGGTATATATGTACCACATCTTCTTGATCCAGTCATCTATTTTTGGGCATTTGGGTTGTTTCCAAAGCTTAGCTATTGTGAACAGTGCTGCTATAAACATAGGGGTGCAGGTGTTCTTTGGAATTGATGTTTCTGTGTCCTTTGGGTAAATTCCTAGGAGTGGAATTGCTGGATCATATGGAAGCTCTATGTTTAGTAGGTCCAGAAATCTCCACACAGCTTTCCACAGTGGTTGGACCAGGTATTGTTACATTTAATACACATGCATATAATTATATGTATACACCTAGATACAATATTTAGTTATGCAATACCACAATGTTTTCCAATTATACTCTTATCTGCTATGTGTAAATTTACTATTGCTTCACCTTTTTAGCGAGTCTGGGCTTTGGAAAAAAGTTATGCCAATGTGATGTATGTAAAACAGTGCTGCTTAAATTATTTCATCTAACTGTGACCTATTTCCAATAAGATTAAAGCACTGTTTCTTTCATTAAGAAAGGCTTGTGAAAAAAATATTACCAGACACACTAAATAATGTACTCAGTGATGTGGTTGATTTACATGCTGATGTAATTTTAATTTGGTTGCAGATTTGCAACAGGCCCACTAACCACTCTTGAAGTATCACTGTAAAATGATACTTTACTGTGATTTAGAATAATTATCTGACAGCATGTATTTTTTCTGTATATTTGTGGAATTTTATTTCCTTTTCAGTTAGAAGGCTGTTCTTTTGTTGGTTTTTCCATTGGGTTAATCTTACATAGTCAGAGTGTTAATCCTTTGCCCATTATATATGTTGCTATAATAGTCTCCAAGTTTTTGTCTTATTTTTTTACTTTTCTTTAAATTCTTTTTGGTTAGTGGTTTTGGGTTTTGTTTGAAATTGTCCCCATTTCCAAAGATCATAAATATATTTTCCTATAGTATGAAATCCTGTAAGTTTGCATTCACATATGAGTCCTTACTCTACGTTTGATTTTGTGTGTGTGGATTGTGAGATAGGGATAAATATACAGTTGACCATTGAACTGTGCAAGGGTTGGGACGCTGATCCTCTGCACAGTTGAAAATACATTCATAACTCTTGACTCCCCCCAAGCTTAACTAATAGCCTGCTGTTGATGGGCAGTCTTACGTGTAATATAGTTGATTAACATATTCTGTAAGTTACCTGTATTATATACTGTATTCTTAAAATACAATAAGCTAGAGAAAACAAAATAAGAAAATCATATGGAAGAGAAAATACATTTTTGGCATTTTACTGTATTTATGTATACCATAAGTTTATGCATCTGTTTACAAGGTGAGTGATTATGGATATCTACAATACTGTCTTATACACTTGAGATATTTGAGATGCTATATGTATAACTAGGCATCAAAAATGAAATGATAATATGAACAATAAATTTGTATTTATTTACAGGTAGAAAGATTCATTCAGTGATAATATTTATTGAAAAAAATCCATGTGTATAAATGGACTCACACATTCAAAACCACATTATTCAAGGATCAACTGTACTCTTTCCCTGTGGATAATTGTGTTAGTGCCACTTATTGACCTCTTTGCACAGTGACTTGCAATAACATCCCTATCATATTTCAAATGTTCACATGAGCATGGTTCTGCGTTTATTAGATATTTATTGTTTTATTAGTTTGTTTTTCTATACTGAGCCAGGAACAAAGTGTCTTAATTACCATAGCTTTATATTATGTCTTGATCTCTGTTAAGACTTGGATTCTTCCTACTTTGCTCTCTTTTTTTTTTTTTTTTTTTTAATTTTTAAAATTTATTTTTGCGTAGAACTGGGGTGTAGGCCAGAGGTACGGGGATGGAGAGAGAGTGGTGAGTGGGGTGGTGTGAGAGGATTCACCGGAGATAGAGTGGGGAGCAGAACAGGCAGATCTACTGAAAACACCGCTAAGGGGAGCAGCGGGCGAGATAGGGAGGTCTGCTGCACCATATGTGGGTTGGCTCCCTGGCCAGGGATTGACCTCAGGCCATAGTGGTGATAATGCTGGGACTTATCTCCTAGACCAGCAGGGAAGCCCCTGTTCTAATTCTTCCAAAGAAACTTGGGGCACCTCTGTGAATATATTAAAGAAAAAAGAATAAAATTTAAATTATTAAAACACATCAGGATAATTGTACATATTCCATAATAATAGAGATAACATAATCAGTTGAACCTGAATAACTTATTAAAAATGTATGAAGACAAACATATCAATTGTATATATTTACTTGGCTTTAGTTTATTATGCTTTTTAAAGAATGGTAAAGAATCAGAATATTGAGTTTTTTTGGATATCCTTGGTTAAGAATGTAAAAATCATGAAAGAAACTATTAATACTAATATTTTCCTTTTTTTTCCTTTCAAGTCTTGATACATCGTCAAAGGCATAGCGTTTCCAAGATGGTTTGTCAGACACCTCTTTATCCTTGTTCTATATACGTTCAGGTGCCCAACAGACATTTTGCTGCTGCTGCAAAGTAAGTATATATTTTTTAAGTGATTTAATTTGCTATTGTTTAAACGTTAGATTAAAAAACATTATGCTTGGTTCCATAAAGACATATAGGGACATATAATTGTAAAGGTTTATTATTCTGCTTCTTTGAGTTCGTAGTCCTAAAGGAAAGATCAAATTTATTATAATAATACTTAACATTTATTGAACACTGACATTCAGTATCCAATTTAATACCTTGTGGTAATATGTTGTCATGCTCTTTTTTTTAAGATGAAAGCAAGATATCCATAGATTATGTAACTTATTTAAAGTCACAGAAAAAGTAAGTGTTGGAGCTAGGATTTTTGACATAATAAAAATATTTTGTTCTCTATACTCAGTTCCTGACACAAAGCTCCTAAAAACCTTGTAATCCTCCTGAGTGATATGAGTGCTGGGAGCATCTTTTGTTCTAATATTTAGTCTTTGACCCAGTTTCTGATACAGAGCTTCTAAAACTCTTGTAATTTCCTGGGTTTTAAGTGTCTTTTTTTTTCTTAAGGAGGCAACTCTTGGAGGGCTCCTGGATGGAGGTTGGTCACCAGAGAGACTAAGATTGGAAGCCTGGAGAGTTGCAGTCCCACCTCCCATCCTTCAGGGCTAGTAGAAGAACTAGAGATTGGGGTCATTGTTGATTATGCTCATGTGATGAAGGCTTAGTAGAAATCCTGAATTATGGGATTCTGAGAGCTGATAGATTGGTGAATGTGTGCATGTGCCAGAAGGGTGGCACACAAACCTAGTGAGGACAGAAATTCTCATACTCCAGACCCTTCTGAAACTTGCCTATCATATTCTTTATTACACAAAAAAACAATAAATGTTAAAAAGTGTTTGAGTTCTGTGAGCCAGTCTAGCAAATTGTAAAGCTTGATGGGAAGGTTATGGAATTCCCCGATTTATAGCCTGTTTGCTGGAAGTATCTAGGCCTGGACTTGTGATTGGCTTCTGGAGTGGGGACAGCTTTTTGAAGTTGAACCCTTAAGCAGTAGGATCTGATGCTCAACCTACATCACTAAATATGGTATCAGAATTGTGCTGAATTGCAGGAAATCCAGGTAATGTTGGAGAATTAGTTGGTATGGGGAAAAGCCCACACATTTGGTGTCAATTGTGTGAGTAGACTTATTAGTCTATCTGGAGATTGTTCAGCTAGAGCTGTCTAGTCATTTTTTAAAATTGAGATATGACATTATATTAGTTTCAGCTGTACAACTTAATGAATGACTATTTGTACATACTCTGAAATGCTCATTTCAGTAAGTCTAGTTAACATCCATCACCATGTAGACTTGTTATTTTTCCCTTGTAAAGAAAACTGTTAAGATTTACTCTCTTAGCAACTTTCAAATATACATTACTACAGTCACCATATGTTCTTTATATCCCCATGATATAAAGATACTTTATATCAACCATTTTTGTACTTATTTTATAAGTTTGTACTTTTTGACACCCTGTACCCATATTACCCAAACTGAATTCCCTGCCTCTGTAAGCCACCAATTTATTCTCTGCATCTGTGAGGTTATTTTCCCCCTAGAATCCATATATAAGTCATACCATATGGCATTTATCTTTTTCTGTCTGGCTTATTTCTCCAAGCATAATGCTTTCAGGGTTCACCTGTGTTATCACAATAAATGTGACAACATTTATGTGAATAAATGTATTTTTCATGTATATATACATTATATATTATATATACATATATATCATTTATGTATATATGTGATATATGCATATTTATCATTTATGTATATTTGCAATATATGCATATAGACACATATTGGGTGTATATATATTATATGTTTTATATATATTTTATATATACATATGCATTTTTTTCCTCCATTAATTCATTGATGGACACCTAGGTTGCTTTCATGTCTTGGCTGTTATAAATAATGCTATAATGAATATGGGTATTTGATTTCATTTTGCAAATATGCTGTAATTTACATAACCATTTCCTTTTTGATACGCATTTATCTTTCCAATCTTTTCTGTTAAAAATTATCCTTTAGTGAATAATGTGTACATAGTATCTTGTTAAATATTGTGAATATATTTGTAGTATAAACTCTGAAAAATAGAATTGAGTCAAGATATGTACAAAAGATATGTACATTTATAATTTTGAAAGGTCATAGCAAATTGCCTTCATAGAGCTCCTGCCAACTTATGCCCTTATCAGCAAGTATTATTAGAATGCCTATTTTCCCATATACAGTTTAGTAAAAATTTTTGAATTTTGTCAATTGATTTGGTAGGTATTAAATGGTATCATGACTTTAATTTATTCAATTATTATCGAAGTATACGTTTTTATATGTTTAAAAGCCCATATATTTTCTTAACCATATTTTTTGTTGATTAGTAGGAACTTTCTGTATTATAATTAGCATGCATCTTTCCTGTAACTTTAATATGTTTTAACTGTTAGAGTAGAGGAATGGACTGAGTGCAATAAGATCACACGTGACAGCTTCACTAATTCTACTGGAAAAGAGACAAAAAGTATTTGAGCTGGGTCCTGAAAGATAAAATTTTGCAGGAGAATTGGCACAGAGGAGTGAAAGTAAATATATGACGTAATGCAGTTTGATATGTCTTGAATATAAAGTGAAGGAGGGGGCAAAAATGTAACTAGAAAGAAGGCTTCATTTGAGTGTGAATAGTACTTGGATTCATTTTGTTATTGAGAAATTGGGGGAGTATTAGTTGTACCAAGTTACATCCCTACCCAGCATTGAGTGAAAATACCCACATTCCTAACAACCCTAAATATCATCAGCTTCTATTTGTTTCTTCAGTGTAGTTTTATATCTTTTGCCCATTTTTCTCTTGGACTGTTTGTCTTTTTTCTTCTGCCTTGTAAAAGTATTTGTTTATTAGGGATATTGATTATTTTGATTATTTTTATTTGATTATTTTTAAAACAACTTTAAATGTTGTTTTCTTTTGTCTTATAGAAGTTTTCCATTTTCTGTCTCCACTGTATTCTATTCTAGTACAACCTTAAAAGCATTTCCATTCACCTTAAAAGCATTTCTTAGCATAGCTAAGAAATGTCTGTTTAAAAAAAAAAGCTAGAAAAAATATTAGCAGTTGATTTTTTTCATGTCTAACAATGAGCATTATTCAAAAGCTTGATGAGAATCAGAGTATTAATACTTTTCATTGTGGGTTTTAGTATTTTTAATTACTAACTTACACTAAAAGTTAGTTTTTTCATGGCTGGTATTTTAAATCAGCATCTGAGACAAGGTAGAAGGACTTGTGCTTCCTTCTCTCTTCTCTCTTCTCATTCCTAATCTCTTCATACCTCCATGTATGTGTATATACCCATGGTTTGCCAGTGGTAGATCCTGATTAAAAAAAAAAAAAGACATCTGGGTCATCTCTGAATCTGGTTCTGTGTCTCTTTTGACAACAGTAGGTTATTTTTCTTGCTTCTTCATTCATCTCAAAATTTTTTGTTGAGTGTTATACATCTTATGTAGAACAATGGAGACTGAAGAACAGTATTTATGCTTGGAAATTCACGTGCCTCTTCTGTCAGAACATTGAGTCAGTCCAGTCAGAAGTATATCTAAGGTATTTGTTGTTGTTGTTGCTATGGTAACCACCAGCTGCAAATTTCTTTAGTGCTACCTGTGCTTAGGGTGGAGGTGGGTTGCTGGAAGGTTTTTCTCTGGGTTCCTTCTTTTACTTAGCTTTCTGCCTGTTTGACAACTGTGCCTCGGGGAGCCGGGAGGGGAAGTCCTCTCACTCTTACCTCTCCCCTGGTAGTATTTAGCACTTGTTAACCTGGTGATGGGGGCAGGAGGGAGTGTCTGTTGCACATTCAGCCTTCAAGGTCCGGTGTGGGGTGGGCCTTGGGGAAGGGGTTTTCTCGGTATTTATGTCCCTTCTCTCCATGGCTTGTATCTATTATGTCTTGTGGGAGACTCTCTGGACCTTCTCTAGCTTTTTTGGTAGAGAATACTGTGATATTCTGCTCAGGACTGTTTCTCATCCTATACCCAAGAAGAGAAGTTTTTGTCTTTCTTTTTTTCTTTCCTTCCTTTTCACACAATGGGTATTTGTTTGTTCCATAGAGGATTTCAGGGTTATATACCTTTCTACCAGCAGTGGCCACATCCTCTAGGATTGCAGGCTCCTGGCCTACTGTGGTTTTTCCCAAGTGTACCTTATGGAGATCTGTGGAAAGGACTTTCCAGTTGAGTGTGAACTCCCCTCGTAACAGGGTTCTCCAAGGGGTTTATACTGTTGAAATGACCCTAAAATTTTAGCTGATTTTTTTCCTTATCTGTTTGTCTTCCTCTCATATTCTGCAATGTCTACTGAAGGTGGAGTGGGGATAGGTATCAGGGCTGACTCTCCTTGGATTTCAGTCTACTCAGTTACCTTACAATCTCAGCTCTGTACTAGGTCAAGAAAAATTGTGATTTTATCGGTCTCTTTCTTATTGCTAATGCTCTTTCCAGCTTTTATATTTTAATTTTCATTTATTTGTATTATTATTGACTGGGTTTTTCTCTATTACTGTTACCATTCTAAATAGAAGCAGAAATTTTGCATTTAGTTTGATGAATAAACCAGCATCAGAGATGTCAGTGAATTTATGTGATTACACTGAGAAATAAAAATTCCAGACATTTGCATATCCTTAATATTTATATGCTTAAAGCATGTTCTCTTTAGTTCTGTTTAATTCAGTGTAGTTTGACAGAGATTGTATGCCCTTCTTCCCCATCCATACTCTTAATTCTTCTATGTAAAGGTGTCTTCCATCTTGAAAGATCTTGGATTGGTGTCTCTGGGGTCACAGATCCTCAAAGGTCCTGAAGAACTTTATTATAGCACCATTTTTTTCTTATGATGCTTTATTTCGCTATGACCATGAAATTATTTTTTCTTTTGTGCTTTTGGAGTTAGGGGACAGATGAGACAGGGAGAAAATTATTACCTGAG